ACCTCAGCATCCCTAATTCCTTCAGCTTAAAGTTAGAATGCAATATCTTCTTAGTGTGATGGATCATATCAATGTTGTCTCCTATTATGACAATGCCATCCACATACACTAACACTAGCACAATGTGAGAATCAACTCTTCCAATGAATAAAGAATAGTCAGCCTTAGATTGAGAAAAACCTCCAGCAATTAGAGCTTGAGTAAGCTTGTAATTCCAGGCTCTAGAAGCTTGCTTTAGACTATAAAGTGATTTGTGCAGCCTACAAACAACATTCTGCCACCGCCGCCAGCAAAGTAGGTAAATCTCTTCTTGTAAACCCCCTTGTAGAAAGGCATTATCTACATCCATTTGGTAAAGGGGCCAATCATGCATAGAAGTTAGGGACAAAATGGTTCTGATAGTAACCATTTTGATGATAGGGGAAAAGTTTCTGCATAATCTATTCCAGCCTTTTCAGTATATCCCTTAGCCACTAACTGTTAGTGAACGACCCACTTACGCAGCGGAAAACAAAAACATAAATGACATGGATTCGTTCCTTAGAACCAAGATCCGGGTATAATATCACAGTTTATACAATATATAAATTAAATTTGGAGAAAATCAGATTCAAGGTTCAATAATCTTATGCACGTTTAGAGGCTCCTCCAACTTTGTCCTTGAACATTTTGCTACCGACTCAAGTGTAGGATCGAACCGATGAAATCCACACGAAGACAATCGCAAGGAACTAAGGAGGGATTTGCTAGATCCTCCTTAGCCTTAAGAAACAAGAAGAAAAATCAAAGAAGAACTTTGATTCTTTACAAAAGCAAAAGTGGCATGAGAGTGAGAGTGTTTTGGGGGCTGTGTTTTTCTTTCTTTTGAATGAAATAGTGATGAATGAAAAAGTTAACCTTTTTTCAACTAAAGCTTTTCTTTTATAGTCAAATTTCAACTGCCCTATTCCCATAGGAAATAGGCTTGGGCTCCAACCCAAACACCCCATGTTACCAAACACTCCCATTTAGATATTTATTTTAATTCATCATTATCTTCAATTAAAATCAATTAATATATATTTAATATATATATTAACATTTAACAATAATGATAATTTATTTAAATATATGCTAACACATATTTAAACGTAATTTTACTTATTTAATTTTTTTAATAAATTAAATAAAGGCTACAATCTCAGCAAATTTAATTATACTGTGAAATTACCAAAATACCCTTTCACCCAAAAAGATGAAAACGCCCTTCTTTCTTCTTGACTTTTAAATTATTTTCTATGTGTGTGACCCATAGGCTCGTCATCATACCGGCAGTGTATAGTATCGCGATTAACACAAATTAATCATCTCACTAATACACAGACCAAGATTGGCCCCTAGCAAGGCATCATGGCCACCCGATAGATTCAGATTCAGCAAAGTACCTACCTATCAATGATATGGTTACCGTACAATTCGATCCTTTCATCATACTGTATCTCGACGAGACGAAGGCATAGAAATAGTGTTAACCTCTGGTTACTCTCGATATTATGTATTCAGTTCTGGACCAATGACCTGTATTATAATTCGGATAGAGCAACAACTCAATCCCACTGTTGCCACAATTTTAGTGTTATTGCCATATACTGAATTGCGCCGTGAGATAACTTCTCTCGTACCCGAGAGTGATGAATCCTCTGTCAATCCACCATAGTCTTGATACACTCCTTGATGCAGCCAATCACCACTGTATTGACAGCTCTGAATAGAACTGCGTTAGGTTAGTGTCAAACTGCACCAATCGGTGCATAAGGCGCTCCGATGATCTCAAGTCTAAGGATCACATGTATCACCATTCGTTAGAGGATTTGTTCCATAGACATTAGGGTTACCATCCATATGGAATCCTCTGGTGGGTCAGTCCAGTGAACTTACTGCGGTATATCCGCCTACAACAAGCACCTATGTGTTGCACCAGGTTGTCACCAAACAACCTTGACAAGTGAGATCAGTCACTGCCTCTCGACAGGGTCGTTCAACACTATGATAGCCTTATCGTATTATCTGTGCCCTTACTTTAGAATAATATTGGGGCTACGGACGTTTCTAGAATGGCCATCATATGTGCTCATAGGGTTCTCATTATCAAGATTTGAAACACTTGATACCCTCGTGACGGTTGTGCCAATCTAAGGACATATATCAAAACATATTGCAATAATAATGATTTACGCGATATAGAATAAAATGCCTTTTATTGATTAATGAACATTATTACAAAGAGTCAATTCTACAATAATTGATTGGCTCTAAGGCATCTACTTTAACACTAACCTAGCCTTATACCTTTCCAAGGAACCATCAACTTTATACTTGAGCTTATAGACCCATTTACAACCAATTGGGGTCTTACCAGGTGGTAAAGAGACTAAAGACTAGGTTTTATTTTATTCTAAAGCCTGTATCTCCTTTTGCATTTAGCCACCCAATTTGGATCTTGAGAAGCTAAAGAAAAGGAGGTAGGTTCTACCATGTTGAAATTGGATAAGTAAACTTTGTAAGTAAGGGAAATATGGTCATAAGAGACAAAACTGGAAATAGGATATAGGGTAAAATTGGTCGAAGTTGAAGTGCTGATGGATGGACAAATAAAATCTGATGTCCAAATAGGTGGTTTTTTAAGTCTGCTTGATTTCCTAATAGGTGTCATGTGCTGATGAGAGGAAGGAATAGTTAGAGTTACAAGAAACTGATCATTCAAGGGAGTAGAAGAGGGTGTTGTAGGTTCTAAATTCTGGACAACAGGTAATGAATCATCAGAAAAATGTATAGCAAAAGAAGAAGTAAACTCAAAATCAAGAAAATTTGTATCAATGGGAAAAAAAATGGCTGTGAAGATTTGGACCAAGTGAAAGGGAATACTGTTTCATGAAAAGTAACATCTCTAGTTACTATAACACTAGGAGATGAAAGATTATAAAGCAAATAACCTTTTTGAGTCAAAGAATAACCCAAAAACACACAAGGAGTAGACCTAGGTGACAACTTGTCCTTAGAAGTGAGAATGGTAGCATAAGCCAAACAACCAAAAGCCTTTGTGTGATCCAATGAGGGAGGTTTACGAAAAAAAAAAATTCAAAAGGAGATAATCCTTTGAGAACAGAAGAAGGAAATCTATTAATAAGGTATATGGCTGATTGCACAAAATAACCCCAAAAATGATTTGGCATTTTGGATTGATATTTTAAAGCTCTAGCTACCTCAAGAACATGTCTATGCTTCCTCTCAACAATCTCATTTTGTTGAGAGGAATAAGCACATGAACTCTGGTGTACAATGCCTTTGCCAATGAACATGTCATGACAGTCTTTGTTAAAGAATTCAAGACCATTATCATTCCTAATACATTTTGGAGTTAAATGGTATTGAGTGTGCATCATTTGAAGAAAAAAATTTAAGGGTAATAAAAACATTAGATTTATACGGCATAAGAAATAACAAGGTTACTCTAGAATAGTCATCAACTAAGGTAAGAAAGTACCTAGCATTACCATGTGTTGGTGTCTTATATGGGCCCCAAACATCCACATGTAATAGTCAAATATGTAGCTAGAAAGTGAATGATTGTGATGAAAAGGAACATTGGTTTGTTTAGCTAATGGGCAAACAAGGCAGTGAGGAGGTTTAGACACATTCAGTTTATTATTCATGTGTTGCAAAACTGTATAATGAACATGTCCTGACCTTTGATGCCATAATTCAATATTAGTAGGAAAATCAGTAGCCATAAAAGAACTAGGAGAATCAAAACTTTTATTCAACTAGAAATCAAAAGGTACAACATTGTTTGAACAAGAAAGTTTAGAAACATTACAAACAACTTTATTTTTTGAAACATCACAAACAACCTTATTTGAGATATCTATATTTGACAGTATGGAATTTTGTGAAATTGGATCAAGGAAATATAGGCCTTGGTTATGCTTACCAATCCCCTTCAATTTGCCACTGCAAAGATCCTGGATTAGATAGAAATTAGGATAAAAAATGATAGAACAATTATTAGAAACTGTAAATTTTAAGACTGAAAATAGATTGTGTTTGAAAGCTGGTATATGTAAGACCTTTGAAAGATGTATGCCATTGTCCAAAATTATAGAACTTACATGTGTAATGTGAGTTTGAGTGTCGTTGGGTAATCTTACAAGAGACTTTGAAGAAGGCTTTATGGTAATAGGAGATTGCTAGATAGAGTTATTACAGGTCATATGATCAGTGGTCCCTGTATCTATGATCCAAGCATTACTAACCAAACAAGAAAGGAAAGCATTATGAGTACTATTAAAAGTACCTGTAGGGTTTGCAGCTAAAGAATCTGAAGGAATAACATTTTCCTTTCCCAAAGCTGCAGAATTTGATTGTATTGCTCCGATGTCAAAATAGGTTCAATTGGGATATTAACAGTCTTTGCATCTGAAACTTCTGTGATGGAGTTCTGTGCTTGCACTTGATTAGCGGAAAATTTGGCTTTTGAACATGTCTTCCCTTTCGCAAATTGATAATCGGCTACGTAGCCATTCATCTTGTAACAATTATCCCGTTTACAACTAGGTAAGTGACAATAGTCACATTCAATATAAAGTTTCTTTCCCTTATACCTCTATCCTTGACTCTGACTCTTACTACTATTTTATTTTAGGCATAAAGTGCAGTAGTGACCTCCAAATTAGTGTTCAAACTAGCTAAAACCTTTTGGCTTTCATCTTGATTCGCTATTAAGTATGCTTGTTTAACACTCGGCAAAGGGTTCATCAACAGAATATAACTCTTGACCATATAGTATGAGTCCTTTAAACCCATAAAAAATTGCAACAACTTATGTTGATTAAGATGCTCGAGATATGCCTTTGCAAAGATGCTATCTATAGTAGGTAGGCTTACCAAAGAATCCAACTCATCCCACAATGACTTGAGTTTGTTAAAGTAAATCACCACTGTGTTAGTTCCTTGTGTAAGGTTCACAAATTCTCAGTGAATACAAAAGACTCTAGTCCCATTGACTTTAGATACTGCTCTTGCAAGTCTTGCCATACTTGAGAGGCAATAGACGAGTAGACAATTCCATTGAAGATCTCTTTTGAAACTGAGTTAAAAATCCAAGCTAAAACTAGAGAATTACACCTTTCCCACTGTGGAACTAAACGAGGATGCACAAACGACTTTGTACAAGCTCCATTAACAAACCCTAGCTTGTTCTTGGCACATAAGGAGACTATCATCGCTCTGCTCCAAATTCTATAATTGTCTGTACCTACAAGTTGCTTAGATACAAGAACTGAGCCTGGCGTATCTGAGGGATGAACATAGAGAGGCGAATTTGAGTCTATTGTAGGAACAACAGATTCTTCTGCCCTAGTCAATTCTTCTGCCATAATCGATTAAAGTGGATTTGCAGAAATTTGAGCTAAAACGATTCTTCTGCCATCATCGATTAAACTGTATTTGCAGAAATTTAAGCTAAAATGAAGAAATCAATGGATTTTGAGCTTGCTCGAGCTGGACGAGAAAGAAATTAAGGGTTTGATTGATCCAATTTTAGATCAAATCGCAGAAAATTTCCTGCTCTGATACCATGTTGAAGAGAGTGAAAATAGTGCAGGAGAGAAGTTTGGGAAAATTCTGCATTTGCATTAAGTAGTCAATTCAAATTTTTACACTGCTTTTATACTACAGTAACTAACTCAACAGAACCAACTCAGGTTAACAACTAACCCCAACTAACTTCAATAAAACTAATTTCAACCAACTCTACATTATAACATTTACATTTACCTATTAATCAGCTACTGTTAACATAGACAGATATCTCCCTTATAAAGAAAGTTTATGATAGTAATATTTGTGAATAACAACAAAGAGGCTGAAGAAACCAGGGGAGAGTTTATCGAAGGATGAGAATGCCATTGCTTAAACTAGTTAAGTTTGTGCAATGCAAAGCCTAATTCCATTTACACCATCTTTCACTTCAGATTTTTGTTGCTTTGTTGAGTCATCTCTACGTACAAAAAGGTTTTATGCAATTGTTCTTTGATCATCTAGAAAATGAAAGTACTCCAGGCCTACATTTTCACACTGGATAAATCTCGATTTCTTCATTGAGTAAGATATAGACTTGACTTAAGATTGCACATTTTATTTGGGCTTTATGTTGTATTATATGCATTTTTTCAAAATGCATGTTTGAATCGTGTACAGGGATTGTGATGATCCAGAGTATTTTATACTGTTGAAAATTATTAATCGGATTGTCAGCGGCGCAATTATAGCAAGGATGCCTTTTTTATCAGTCTCTGTCTATCATTCAATTTTTTATTTTTTATTTTTACAATTTATAGTTAAATTTTATTAAATTTTAAGAACCAGATTTGCAACAAAATAATAATTGAATGGAGCTTTTTGCTGGATTTCTATGTCATATTTAGGTCTGTAGATTTTTAATATCTTTATCTCTTGGAAAATATTTTTTATGATTAATATGTAAGTATGCTTTCATCAATATTATAAATACCAATAACAAGAAAAACGGTCTCCCAAAATCTCTTAATTTAAATTTTAGCTTAATGTAAACGCAGGTGCAACTAACTCATGTACATTAAAGAAAAAAATGAGACTGCATGGCAAGTAATTTAAAAGCAGTGCAATTTAGTGGACGTCCATTATTGTTTCACGACTTTGAAATTTGATAACAATAGACCTCTCCTCTGGCTTGTTCATATTTCCTAGTCTCTTCCTAATCAAAACATTGAAACAATCAAATTTTCCGTGTGCCTTTGAGTAGTTCGGTCTTGCAAAATCTTGAACTTCATCAAATGCTTGAGCTGATATGGCCCCTATTAATTAGGTCTCTTATATATAGCCCATACAACATATTTCCGCTTTGTTACTCCAATTGGGCTTCTAACGCCACTCATTAATGTTTCAATAGAGATAATTAGATTAAAATTTTAATACTAAGCATAACATCAGCTTAAAACTTTATTGGCATCATACAAGAATCTTAAGCACATAAAACTCAATTTTATCTAGTACATCATATAAGATAGTTCAAATATAAAACCGATACTTCTTGAAATATTAGTACAAAATCTTCTATATTTGTGGGAGAGTTATGTTCTAGCAAGTCATGATCTATTGGATATGGTTGGTACTTTGCATGGCCTTAAAGGATTATCCCCCTATGCAGACGCATTCGGGGGTCCTACTCAATCAATAGTTGGGCTTGTTATTGGTTTGTAAATATTTGGGCTTAGGTCAGATTAAATCGGGTTGGCCCAAATAGGGTTAGGGATACTATTATATGCTAAATGTAATAGTGAAAAATCTAAAGTGAGAATAGTGAAAAGAGTGAGATGTCGTTTACTTATCATCTTTGTATTATACAATTTCTGATACTCAATAAAATCACCCTATTTGAGTGATGGATGTAGTTCCTTGATAATGGAACGAACCAAGGTAAATCATTGTGTTTTGTTACTATTTTATGCTTTTCTTGTAACGTGTTTGGCTTTCAGATTCAACATGATCTTCAACGAATTTCAAATTTATTGAGTAATAAAACCAGAAAGATTATTATCAGGGAGGTTCAACATCTGTAAGTTGCTTAGATTACTGGAGACACTAGAATTGAACTTGAAAGATGGTTGCTATGAAGGCTAATATTATCGAGATACTCCAAATTCTCTAATTCCTAAGGAATGGAACCAGAAAGTTGGTTTTCTGGACATGTACAAGATTGCCATGTGTCAAAGGTTTCCAAGACTTGATGGGATAGGACCAATTAAGCTATTGGTATTCACATGAAGTACAACAAGATTGGAGAGATTTCCCATGTTTGGAGGAATTGAACCAGAAAGTGAATTATAAGAAAGATACAAAATACCCAAATTGCTCAAATTACTCAAAGAAGTAGGAATTGAGTCATTTAACTGATTATCACTCAGGTAGAGGAATTCTAGTTGTCCTAACAGGTGAATTTTCTGATAAAACTGATTCATCGACAAGTTAAGATACCTCGGTTTTGAGAGATTGCTTAATCTTGTCGGGATGACACCAAAGAGTTCATTCATGCCAAAATCAGCATATACAAGATGGGGAAATGATGAACGACAATTCATCGAGGGTACCTTTTAAACCTAAAATAGAAATGTTAAATCTATCGATTCTTCTAGCTAGGTTGCAAGAAATTCCAAACCAAGTACAAAGGCTTGTTATGTTTTCAGGTTAATTAGAAATATTGGTGGCATTTACGAGAGGAATTGTCCATGAAGACAGGAGAGAATGGTTCTGGTTTTGAAGGCTGGCTTTCCATTTCAGAAGAGCTTGTGGTTCTTCAGTAGAGTCAGAAGCAACATTGCAAGGAAATTGAAACACAACCAACAAGATCATACAGACAAGTGAGATTGCTCTCTCCAAGGTTCACAAAGCCATTGTTTATTCAATTTCTACATAATCCAAAGCTAATTCAAAATTTAGATATAAATTCCATGAAATTTAGAGTGGCCATCAAACTTTGCAAAAGTCTTTGCAGTATACTTCAGTACTAAATATTTCAAAAAGAAAATGGCATTCCAAGACACTTTTCAAAGTAGTGTGTTATAAATTAAACCAAGTGAGACTCTGATGCCCACTTTTCTATCTCAAAAATCTTAATTTGTAAAATGTAATCTTGCAATATGTAACACCACAACTTTTTTTTTTTTTTAAAACAACGACTTACACAACTTAATAACAATAAAATATGTTAGAATCCAACATAGGGATCTCACATCTACTAAGTGTAGTACTTAAGCCTAGGAACTCTCCCACCTATCAGGCCAGTCTTTTGGGTTAGACTTTCCCTTTGGTCCCTGGGCCCAAATAAGCTGATTGATGAGGCCTAAACGAATCGAGGTCTTTGCTGATTGGGCTCAAGCAGTGAGCAACGAGGTAGATGCACTGAGCGGACCTAATATGCAAACTCTGTTGCGAGCTCAAAAGGAATTGGGCCATGGCTTTGAGCTTTGTTGAAGTTGTCTTTGTCTTTGGGCCTATTTGGGTCGAGGACATTTTTTTGCCCTAACAGTTTGCCCCCCACTCTCTAAGTTAAGGAGTGCTCAGCTTATAGAGTAGATGTTGCATGGAGGTGTGCTTAGTCGTCCTTCATGACCGACTGATAGAATATGTGAATGTGATGCTTCTCTATTCACAGAATCAAATAGTATAACTTTTACTGTAGGTGATGCACTCGGTATACCAAGCCGAATGGGTAGGTGGAGGTGAAACAAAAACATGCCCTCACTAGGCATATCTAACGGAGTGAAAAAGTGGAGTTGACCTTGAAGACCTCGCCTTGTGTATCAGATTGAGGGAAAGCATGAAAGAATCTGCTAAAGGTGTCCTTACTCGGTATGTCGAACCGGGTGAAAGGATATACGAAACGTCCCATGAAGGTGTCCTCACTCGGTATATCGAACTGAGTGAGAAGATGTGTGAACCTTCCCATGAAGGTGTCCTCACTCGGTGTATCGAACCAAGTGAGACGATGTGCAAACTATCCCATGAAGGTGTCAGCACTTGGTGTATTACACCGAGTGGAATATGTTAGGGTCATTCTAGTGGTGGTGCCTTTGACTGATTGGTTGAATCTAAATGAGTAGGTGTATGCGCACTCCCAAGCAAGTGGCTAGTCCACTCGGTCGGGATGACCGAAAGGGTGGAGGTTGTGTTTTGCTTTGGCGGTGTTTGTCACAAGACCGGAGAGCCGAGGTTAAATAGTCAGTACGTCCGATGATAACTCCACTCAGTCGGGCGAACTGAGCAAGTGGTTAGCATCTCCATGATATGCATGACGTGGCAGCCACGAACCCTGAATCGGAAACGTGAAGCTGAATAATTCATCTCTTGACACGTGTACGACTAAGATCTCTCTTCTGAGTTTGGGCGGGAAAATGAAATCACACTGTTCAACTACCAATCGGAGGTTGCCACACATAAGCTTTGACAGCATTCGTTAATAAAAGTGTTGAGGCGACTGTTCGTTTCATTTCATTCTCCATTTCTCTCTCCTATCTTCACGTTTTCTCCCTGTTTCAGTTTTTCTTCGCAGCAGTGAAAAGATTTTGGAACTTTGGCCATTTTCACAGCAAATACTTGCTTCCTTGTATTGTTTTTCGATTCCTTTCATCCTTTCTTTGTGTTTGCGGTACTTTTAAAGGGATTTAGGGGAGGTTTGGTAGATTTTTTAGGGGAGCTTGAAAATGAGGAGGTGTTGCGTTTGTTTGGCTTGGACAGGGTAGGCTTGCTGGCGATTTTGATTCTTTGGTTTGGCGTTTAGGAGATTTTGTGTGTTTATGATTGATTTGGTGTGGTCTGTGTTTGAAGACTCTAGGTTTAGGGAGGTCAAAAGATGGATTCGATTTATGTAGGCTTCCCGTTTGGCTCGTCTCGGTCTACTTGACCAGGTCGAGTGAGGTGGTTTGAGTGAAGAAGTTTGGTTTTGTAAAGACTAAGTCACATAGGTCATTCGGTCTCCCAGGTCAAGTGGAGAAGGATCTAAACAGTGGGTCCTGAGGTAGTAGGTACTTGGTCGTTGGTCAGTCACTCTAGGCGAATGGAGCTTTTGGAACTAAGGATACAATTCGGTATGAAAAACCAATCGGTCTCCCAGGTCGAGTTGATAAGAGGTTGAATGTCACAGTTAGAGTCAGGCAATTCGAGTGGGGTGGAGATAGAAGTTGGTAATGAATACGAGAAGGCCCCAACGATGGTAATGGTGCCAAAGGGTGGAGATGTTTTGGTCAGTATACCCAGGGGGGTGAATGTGGCTGCCCTTGGGCCAAGCGGTGCTGCTCCGGGCGATGACGATTCAGACAGGCAAGGGACGAGTGGGGAAGACTCTGATGACGCCGACGGTTTTGGAAGTTTGTCTTTTATCACCAGTGGCTCTAAGGACGAGCCGACTTGGCCCAATAATGGGATATTGAGTAAGGACTATTCGCCCTTGTTGAAGGAGAGTGATGTGTGGCGGATTAGGACAATGTACCACATTCCAGAGTCCGTCAAGATTAGGGTGCCCAAATCATACGAGAGGGTTGAGTAGGAGGCAAAAGGTTGGGTAAGTGCCTACGAGAAGTGGTTCCATGATGGGCTAAGGCTTCCTATTTCTCGTCTTGTTTGGGAGGTCCTTAACCATTTTATGATTGCACCAACTCAAGTTATGCCAAATGGGTGGAGATTGTTGATGGCTCTGGAGGACCTTTGTGTGCAAAATCAGGTGATGTTTGGGCTGCACAAGTTGCTATACTCATATTTCCTGAAGGAGAATGACAAGGACAAGGGCCGGTAGACGATCACTCTCAGGCATGATCGGGCTCATCTCGTGACCGACCTCCGGTCGAGTGACAAATACTGGAAAGAACGCTTCTTCTTTATGAGGGGTGAAACGGTCTTTGGAGAGAGAGGTCAAGTGTATACCTGGCAAGCGACTGGTGAAGAACTTAGTCTTTATTCATGCTTTGATTACTAAAGTCTTATTTTGTTTCTTCTTTGCAGATCCTGAGTTCAATCGTGTCGGGCAAAGTGGCGACGACTTGGATGTGAAAACTAGAAAGGTTCTGGTCATTCCTAGGGCGCAAAGGGATTGGCTAGTAGTGTTGGAGGAGGCGAATTTGAGGACAAGTCACCTGTGGGCTAGAGTTGGTGTGATTTAGTGAGGTATCCCCTTCCCTTCACTGAAGCAGACTTGGAGTGTGCTGCTTATTCACTACTGCAATCATATTTTATCTGGTAAGTCAAGGCTAAACCCACTAACACACTACAAGAAAACTGGCATTCTGCGTCTAGCAAAATTAGACGTAGAAAGTCACATTTAGACGCTAAGCCATTTTCCGCGTCTAAATTTGGTAGTCGCCCCTTAGTTGCAGTATCGTTGTCACAGATTCATAGCACATCTAAATTTTTGTTTAGACGCGGAAAGTTTTTTTTTTTTTTTTTTTTTTTTTTTTGCGACTAGCAAAATAGTTGCTAAATGCTGGTCAAAATAGTCCCCCAACTTAGACGCTAAAAGTTCAAGGGTAATTTAGTAAAATTGTATAGCGACTAATCAATTAGTTACAAAATGTACCCTTTAGTGTCTAATAATTTGTCACAAATGCCACAAAAATTAGACGCCAAAAGTGTAAGGGTAATTTCGTCAAAGGTATTCGCAACTATTTTATTAGTCGACGAATGTATTTTTTAGTGACCAAAATTTAGTGGTTAATTGCAATGTTTTAAAACCCAACCCGGGGTGAAACTCGGCAAAGCTTTTGGGTCCCAGGTTGACCAATTTAACCGGTTTGACCAGTCCCAGGTTGACCAATTTAACCGGTTTGACCAGGTTGACAAAAACTTTTAAAATTCAGTAAATATACCCCTAAAAATTACGTAAGTCCCTATAGGTTTGAAATTTATCAAACACACCCCAACTACAAATCGACCGGTGACTGATTAGCGGTGGCGACACCCCAGATGCAACGCTAATTGTCCCTTGAGCCCATTTCTATCAAAATATACCCAAGATCTGGCTGACGTTAGCGTCGGCATTCTAGGCCAGATCCTATCGATTCCGGCAACAACAGCCCTTCCGATCACCCCAGAATTACTCCCTTTTTCCTCCTGACCAAAATCCCCCTCACCCCACCCCCGTTAGCCTCGTCAATCGCCGGAAAAATCTCATCGTTGCCGCTGCCAGTTTTGGTCAATTTCCAGTCGATTTACTCACCGGAAATCAAATCTTTCACCACCATTACATTCACCAGAAATAGCTCTTCAAAAGCCCCAACATTCCGACAGTTAATTGTTCGCCGATCATCACCAGAAATCCTAAGGTACTAGGTGAATAGGAAAAAATTAAACCCAGCCCGTTGAAGCTTCCGGGTCCCAGTTGAACCGGTTCGACCGACCGGACCGGGTCGGGTTTTAAAACATTGGTTAATTGTTATACTTTTAGACGCTGAATATAGAATCCAAACGGTTTCCGCGACTATTTTATTAATAGCCGAATGTATCTTTTGATGACCAAAATTTAGTAGTTAATTATAATTATTTTAGACGCTAAATATGAAATCCAATAGGTTTTCGCGACTATTTTATTAGTGACCAAATGTATCTTTTGGTGACCAATATTTAGTAGTTAATTATAATCATTTTAGACGCTGAATGTGGAATCCAATAGGTTTTCGTGACTATTTTATTAGTAGCCGAATATATCTTTTGGTGACCAAAATTTAGTGGTTAATTATAGTCATTTTAGACGTTGAACAACTCAATTCTGGAAATAACTTTCACAAGTAAACAAAGAACTAAATCATAGAATATATAAGAAAATAACACTATAAAAGGCTTTCATATTTACTCAATTACATTAGCAGAGAACAATGGATTGAAATTTCTGAATTTCATAAGACACCTTATTAGTTACTATGTATCATCAAAATGTCAAGAATAATATACAATTGAACAGGATTTAATGGAATATAGATAAAAAGAAAAGGCTTAATGCCATCTTACAGCTTGCTCAGAAGCACCAATGTATTTGTTCAACAGCTCAGGCCCTTTCACCGATATAAATCGTAAAGAACAAGCAGCAGCAGCAGCAACACCAACAATGTGAGTTTTGCCGCAACCAGGAGGACCATATAAGAGAACATTTGACCTTAAACGTAAAGGAGCTTTGGCAAAGATATTTGGAAACTTTGAAGGCAATTCAATCATCTGACAATTAAATATAGAATCAGCAACAGATATATGACACAAATAGACAAATGGATTTTGTTTTTTCCTTTTTATAATCCAAAAACCCCTCGGCATGAGCACCAAGTTCAGAACCCAAACTATTTACAACAACCTTTAGTTGTTAGAAAACCTAACAGATATAATATCTTAAATATGTGGTTCCAAGAGGATTTAAACCAGTGACATCTTGTAGATAAAAAGTAGGACTATTGAACCAACCCTTGCGTCTAGCAAAACTTTTCAGAATAGTTGCTCATTCAACTTGGAAGCTAGAAGCATCTAGCTCTTGACATTTTGTACATTACACAGGACACACTAAAAAATTAACTCCAAAAACAGGAACTTTTATTAGTTAAACTGTCAGATGTTAGAAGAGACTGAATGCACTGTTTATCATCAAAGATTTTTCAATGAGTATTCAACTTTGATGAACTGATTTTTCAAGCTTAAAATCTAAAGCGTACAAATGTACACTCCAATAGGGTTCATACTTCAAAAGGTCCAATAAGCTATCAACTCAAGGAAGCAATAAAATATCAAAATGTTCTGAGTTCAAAGGAGTTCTATTAGCCTTGCATTTCTAAGAAGATCAGAAGTAAAAGAAATAATACCTCTTTGATCGCATTCCGAATGTCATTAAGACCACCAACATCATCCCAACCAGAGCGACCACCTTCAGGAGAAGGTTTACTAATGTCTCGCATAGCAACTGGAAGGAAATCATGCATAGCTTGAGTAAAGTCATCCCTAACTAATGTGGGATGAATGTTCTTTTCACCACCAGAATCGGAAGGCAGAAAACGGCCAACAGCAGCATGAACAGCTCTATCAACCAATATTTCCTGAAACATTGTTATTCCTTTATCTTAAAAATGCAGTAGAAAACAAAGGTCAAGAAATTCATTAAAGAAGAGGGCAACAGTAACATGTAATCTCTTATCTTTAACCATGATAACAACTAATTTAAACAATCAGTGGTAACACCAAAGACAGTTGCATCACTAGAACAAAGTGACTATGGTAGAAGAATTATGTATTGAAAATTAAAAAGAATTTTGAGTAGAACTTCTAAATAACACAGATAGGATTTTGAGTAGGTTTGCTTCGTCCAGCCAAGGCATTCCTCTGCTGTCGCAGAGGGATGGGCAAGCTGCCATGAGTTTTTTTTGCTGTAAAGTAAAGAGTTAATTAGCATTTGGAACTTGAAACCTTTTTACTTTTTGGGTCTTAGATGCATAAAGATTGCCTTACCCACTCCCTAATAAGTGGCCATCCAGATTTAAGCTGCAAAACACTCATAATCTCTTTCCCATTAACCAAAGGTTTCACATCCCACACTTTCTCAAGACCTGCACATGCAAAAAACAAAAAGTACTATTCACCCCAAAGTTGTACCCACAAAATGATGAAATCTTTTTTAAATTCTAGCGATGAGGGTCATACATTGCTTCCAATCTTCCAATGGTTATTTTCAACTTCCATTTAACCATATTCTAAAACCAATCTAAAACATTTTTTGTACACCAAGCTATCTTACCAGCTATCTAAGTTGCTAGCAGGGTACTCACATCACTTCAAAAACAGTGGTCATGCTTAAGGATTAATGATTTGTATTTCTTGAACCTATGTGTTACAGAAACAACATAAAAGCATATGTAGTTAACAGTTCTACAAAGGAGAATATACAACAGTCAAGGAATCAAAACTACAATAATAGTATTTTTCAAATATATGAGTCTGTTTGGTTCATTATTCTGATAGTTTTTAGAATAATATTTTGAAAAAAGTTAAATTGGGCGGGTATTACGATATATTATTTGGAAACTAATAAAAATATCTCTTATGTTTGTTTATTTGCTAAACACCCCTATAATAAAATATTAAAAGTTAACAAAAACACCCCCAACCCATCCATTAAATACGGACAGCCGGCCACCACTGCCGGAGGGTGGCCAAAGTGTTTTTGCAATTTCTAAAAATAATATTTGGGGGTGTTTAGTTAAATTAATAAATTTAAGAGGTTTAAAAGAAATTGAAAAATATAGAATAATATTTTGGGAATAATGACATTTTACTGTTTAACTTTTTTGGGAATACTAATAATAGTATTCCCAAAAGCGAAACAAACGAAGCCATAGCTTATCAATTGCAGTAAGTAAAATTGAAAAATTAGAGCAGAACTGCATCTTCCAAATGAATTCAGAATTTATATAGAATTTTATTTTTTTTAATATTTTTAATAATTATCAGTTACAAAAAGGTTACTGTAAAGGCCGAGGGTTCAACTCCCCTCGCAGAAGCTAAAAGTTTCACTAGTCATAGCATTTATCAATCCATTATGAAATAACACCATTTACCATCCATCAAATCCAAAATAACTTTTGCAGGATTCAAACTCGCCTTTTCTATTTCCTCCTCAAATGCTCTCTCCAGCTAATTTGCCTTACGTCCATCTAGAGCACTCCACAGTAAACCTTATTCTACATGCATTCCTCTAAAGCTTTTCAAAAAAAAAAAAAAAAAAATCTCTAAAACCACCTTCACATGCCTATGTCTTTAATAATTTGGGGTGCGTTTGGTTTATTATTTTGGATAGGATTTTGGGGATAGTATTAAGTTATTGGATATGAGAGTATTACGAGGTAAACTTTAAAAATTTATGAAAAAGCCCTTAGGTTTACTAATTTAATTAAAGACCCTAATATATAAAATGACAAAAACACCCCCACCACTTGTAGAGCCAGATTTCGGCCACCACCATCGGAATCTGGCCGAAAAATTTCGTTACGACACAGACCGGTCGGATCTATGCCGTAACGCATCGTTATGGCCTTTTCCGGCCAGATCCACCACGGATCTGGCTGAAAAAGGCCAGATCTACGAACTACTATAGTTGTGATGACCGAAAAAGGCTGAAACGATGGCCATCTTTGGCCGTCAGCGTCTGCCAAAGATATGGCCGTCAGCGTCTGCCAAAGATATGGCCGTCGTTGACAGCAGATTTGGCCTTTTCCGACCAGATCTGGCCATTACTGGCTATTTTCGGTGGCTGTGTGACTATTGTGATAGATTGCTGCTATCACCGGCGGTGGTTGCCGGAATCTAGCAGGTATTGGTGGGTGCAGGTTTTTTTGTTAGTTTTTAAACTTTTTTCTGGGGGGGATTTAATGAAATTAATAAACTTATGGGGTCTCAACGTAATTAAAAAATAGACTAATATTTTGGGAATAACGTGCCAAACAACATTTAAAAAATAGAATTGAGAATATGGATAAAAACAATAAGCCAAACGCACCTTTGACTATCACCAACATCCAATATGTTTAATTTTGGATAATATAACAAGCTAATCCATGGTTTCAACAATATCAGCACCTCCTGCCTTTAGGATATCATTAACTTGTACTGACAACTTCCCAACAAAAGTTCTTGAATTCACCACACAAACAATAAGAAAGAATGAAAAAGCCAACCTAAATAAACTATTCCAATATGGGTTGTGGAAGATTCCTATATGCAACAAGGAAGGAAAAAAAATGAGATTTTGAAGGGATAATATATAAAATAAAACTGAAAATGAGAAATACAATAAAAATAAAATAAAATCTCTTCTTTGAATATTTAAATAAAACTCATACTATACAAATCAATATAAAAAAAAATATGATGGAAACACTAATTAATAAAAATAGTAAAAGAGAGAAATAAAATTATTAGGTACCCGAAAGTAGCAAGCTGAGCAAGAAAGAAGGGGTAATGCTTCAGAGGAACAAGCGCCAGTTTATACAACACTCGATTTCCAATGCCCAAGACCACCGTAACCGCCGCTACCACCACCACTTCCACCTTCCTACTTCTTTCATCTTTACTCCTCCTTTTCTCCACCGCGTACGACCACGTCCCCGCCTTCCTCTTCTGCACTGCCGCTTCCTCCCCCTCCAATCTCTCCCACACTCCTCCCGCCCCCGCCACGTACAAATTCGAACGTTGTTTCAGCGATTTCAGGACGAACCATGGCCGTTGATTTCTCTGATCGCGTAAGAGGAATGAAATCACTGCCGTACGTGAAGGTTTTCGCGATTCAAGTAGAGTAGTGTGTGACACGGCGGGATCGGCGGTGAACCGCTGGTAACATGATGTCATTGTAATGATTATAATGACAAGATCTGTTGGAATAGAGGCCGATTGAGAGAGAGGGAGAGGGCGAGCCGTGTGTAGAATACACACACCAATCTTTAAGATTCATCACCTATTTTTAATCTCTAAAAACTCTCTGCCTTCTTTTTCTGGGTTTAGAAGTAAAGCAGTAGGGTTTTGTAATGTTTTATATGTGGTGTGGAAAAATGGAGAAGAAGATGCGAATGGAGTGGAGAAGTAGAGAGTGTTTGCGTTTTAGGGTAAAATTAGTTTGGGGATTTTGTATAAGTGGGTTTATTACTTTTTTATTTTTATTTTTCTATTTTAAGTTTCAAAAATTTTTGTGCAAAATTGCTTAATTATTATTATTATTATTTTTTTTTATGTTACCCTAAAACCGGGTTTGGGATTTTGTTTTTCTTTAATTGTAAGGATTTAGGGACTTTTCAATTTGTTTACTTTTTAAATTTTAAGGAAAAATTGTTTACTTTTTAATTTTTGTTTTTTAAAATTGGAAATTCAGTTTTTTGTATTTTTCTGGACCACAATCGAACAGTTTCCCAGGTAAACGAAAAACTAGTTCAGTTCTCGGTTAGGTTCAGTTTCTATATTTTTTTAAACATTGCTACATTTAGGTGTTCAGGATACGCCTTGCCAAAACTCACCGAGGTTAACAATCTCCGTCGAAATAGGCACGGAATAAGCACCAGAGTCAGTGAGCGAGTCGTTGCCTACTGAACGAGAGTAGTAGAAACTAGAACTGTTGTTCCAGTGCCGGAAGCAGATCAACTATGAGGGTTTGTACAAATGAGTGAAATAGCGGTTGAGCAAAAGTTTTAGGGAAAAATGGTAATGTTGGATGAAAGAGAAGACAAAAATAAAATCAAACACCATTCATTTATTAGTAACAATAAACGAATTTAAAATACTCGTTACAATTATAATACCCACTGTAATGTCAGATGAAAGAGAAGACAAAAATAAAATCACCCATTACGAAGTTAAAGCCACCCATTTAGGAACATCACTAACAACAGATGCTTAAACAAATTAAAGCAAATGTTGTGAAGAAACGGATTGAAAATCAAACAATAAAATAGAAATACCATCTATAAAAGAATGAGCTTTGACATAAAAATAAAAAATAAAAAGTTACCTTCAATGGGGTAATGTAGGCGGCAAAAGTAGAATCAAAGAGACGGTAATGTAGGCGACAAAAGTAGAATCAAACAATAAAATTGATTTTGGTTAGTAGTAGTATATATTATTTTTAATAAACAATATTTAGTGGCTAACATTTTGGTTGCAAAAAAAATCCTATTAACAACTATAACTTTAGTTGCCAAAATAACATACCCAAAATTTCAATTTATTTCAAGCGGGAACATGGGGCACTCAAAATTTACCATACATTTGGCAACTAAAATCTTAGTTGCCAAAAGAAGATAATTTATTTCAAGCGGGAACTTGGGGCGCTCAAAATTTACCATACATTTGGCAACTAAAATCTTAGTTGCCAAAAGAAGATAATTTATTTCAAGCAGGAACTTGGGGCACTCAAAATTTACCATACATTTGGCAACTAAAATCTTAGTTGCTAAAAGAAGATAATTTGCAACTAACTAATTAGTTACGCAGTTGTAATTTTAGTCACAAATTAAAATAATATTTTTTCATTTTACCGGGAAAGTTGGGCTCAAAAAAATTCATCAACTTTTAGCGACTAACTACATTTTAGTTACTATACATGAGTTTTTGCAACTAATTGTAATATAGACAAAATAATTAGTTGTCAAATGTACCCTGGGCCCTTTGTAATTATTGTTAAAAGCTTGAATGTTTCGGTAATTGTATTATTTTGTAACTAATAAAAATAGTTACAAATTAATTAATAAATATTTGCATCTAATTTAGCAACTATTCAGTAGTTGCAAATAATTATTTTCTGTAACCATAATTTTAGTTGCAGAATCTCTTGTTGTAGTTGCCAATTGTGTTCGCGCAAGAATTGGCAACCAAATAAATTAGTCGCTTATGTGATATTTTGGGCAACAAATCACATTAGTCACAAAATATTAATTTTAGACGCTAAAGGCGGGAATAAAATTGGCCATAGAATTTTATTCCCTTTGGCCAACTAATTGGAATTTAGTTACTAAATGTGGGGTATTTGCAATTATTTTTGCCTAGTTGCAAAAAAATTGGTTGCAAAAAGTACTTTTTCTTGTAATGCCTATTGAGAAATTTACGATTGTAGAGAGGCTTATGAATAAGTTAACTGTCTTGAGTGCGAGTGAGCCCATCGCGAGACGTCGCGAGAAGCAAAAGAGGGACTCTTTGACGAAAGAGGAAATGAAGGTGGAGGATGTGGTTATGACTCTACCCAGACAACCGCCTACGCTCGGCGCTAGGTCATCTAAGATAGTGGTCTTGGATGAGAAGATTAAGATGCTTGCTTTTAGTATCCCAGCTTCTGCGTCGACCTATTCGGATACCGCTTCCATGAGCAAGTTGGCAGATTCGTTCCTGTTCCTAGCGGATGAGAGCCGATTAAATCAGATGGGTGCAGTTGCGACTGTTGATTGGGGGGTTTCCTGCGCTTTCTAGGTATGAGCCAGATTTTTATCTTACTGTACTTGTAGTGACTGAACACTGATTGAGTGGTTTTATCATGCACGGTTTCACAAGTAGCCTGCACCTCAAGAAATCCATCATGTCATAGGAGAATAAGATATAGGACATTTCTAAATCCAACGCCAATCTATGACACAAAAAGGCGATGGTCTAAAAAGCTGAGTGGGAAAGCCAGCAGTGATTGAGTGAGGTCGAGGTCGATGCCAAGCTGGAGCGATTGAAGAAGGAGTTGGCCGAGAAGAACGCGGAGGTTGAGTCATTGAGGGAGCAGTGCCTCAATATTGTTGACGACCCCATCATCAGGGCTAGGGGAGAGTTGATGCTGGAGTACAAGGCCGGGAACATTGCCCACTAGAACCCAGATAAGGACATCCAACTCTTGCAGGAGATGGAGGAGGAAGAGGCTGTTGGTCGCACGGATTATACGGAGGAGCACGTCGATGACCAAGTATTCGACCTTGCTAGTCAATCGGGACAGTCGGTTATAGAGGATGCTGGTGACCAGGCTGTAGGGACGACTACTAGGCCTAGTGATCGAGTGACTGAGTAGAGGTGGGTGAGACAACTCGTATTGATGATGTGGGGCATGATGCCTCTTAGGCTTATGTTTATTTTTTTCTCATGTATTTCTGGGGCCTACGTTGCCTTTTCATGGCGTATGTGCCTTTTTGTACCTGATACTTAGCCGTTTGGGGCTTTTATGTTTCTACTTGTGTTTCTTTTTTATTGCTTTCTTCATGGATGGATGGATGGATTGATTGTTTGTAGATGTGTAGGGGTTGAACCCTCTTTCCTAGGTAATTGCATCATAGATGTATCCGGTCTAGGCAGAATGTTGTAGTCGAGTCAACATGGTCCGGTACGAGTGCGTAAACTGATGCAACCAATTTGAGCCTACTGGTTGTGTTTTGATGTGGACGAAACCAAATGGCTGATTTGCTAGTGTCGCTCGAAGGTGATTTTTATAGGAACGTGTCGTTATGGGCTGACTGGAGATCTCTAGATGCAAAAAATTAACTGCTATGGAAATAAGGTATGATCCCGGGAGGTTGAGGCCACCAGCAATCCACAGTACCTGTACATGCAAGAAAACAAGCATGAAGCGAACGAAAAACACCAGGGTGGTGTTTGTCGTAAGTACTCTAACGCTCAAGTCAGCAAGACTGAATGAGGCTAATTTAGTGAGGGTTAGGGAAAGAGAAGGTTACCAAAACTCTAGTCGGAGATACAACTACGGCTGTGATGCGAGGTTCCCAAGAGTGAGAACTACGAGGTTAGAAGGTGTAATGTCCTCTCCCTTGTGAGTGGGTTGGCCTCTGTTCAAATAGCAACTGTAGGATCTTCAAGTCCTAGTAGGACTGTGAGTCCTTTGGAGGTTGAGGTTTAGTGAATAGGAAGGCTTTTGATTCCCTTACCTTAGTAGGAGAGGGAGTCCTAGTTGGTCAAAGATATAGATCTTAGACGAGTTAGGATAGTAATTGATCTCTTCCGTAGAATCCGAATAGTACCAAAATAAGAAATAAGCAACCTTGGGGTCTAAGTAAGCCCTAGGTCCAATAGGTGATCTTGGATCAAAGGGCCTGGGCCCAGACAAGCTGATGATAAGGCCTAAACGAATTGAGGCCTTTGCTGATTGGGCTCAAGCAGTGAGCAACAAGGTAGATGTGTTGAGCGGACCTAATATGCAAACTCTTTTGCGAGCTCAAACGGAATTGGGTAATGGCTTCGAGCTTTGTTGAAGGTGTCTTCATCTTTGAGCCTATTTGGGTCGAGGACATTTTTTGGCCCTAACGAGGATAAAAATTTACATATAGTCTTTTAAAAATATGAAGAACAAAAGTCAAGTTTTTGGGTCCCCAGGTTCTTTACATTTTAAAATTTTATCATGCTTTAAACTAATTCATGTAAAACAGGTCATGAACTTTCACAAGTTAATAACCGACTATAACCAAGACCTATACTTTGCAAGTCAAATAATTCAAGGAAATTATACCTAGAATAAACTTCTTAAAATCTTACAAAATCTTTATCCAAGTTATTTCTTGTCCTTCTTGATAATCATTTTAATGTATTAGGAAACTTCAATGGCATCTAAATACACACTTGAGCAAGAATCGTCAGCTAACTTGCTTTGGGGCTTATTAGTTTGTTATCATCAAAACAAAGGCATTTTGAATCCTTGAGTCAATGAAAATGGCGAGTGAATTTAATGCAACGTTCGAAAGGTTTAATTAATTCACCCCTGGAGTAACACTTAAGAAAAAATTG